CAAGTATATACAATCTCAAATAAACAATTTATATCGCCTTTATTTGAAAGAATCTACTTGTGATCATTTTGAGTGGTAATGTATATGAGAACGATAATTAATTTTAAGAATAGCGGAGTTGAAGTTAACAAGAAATGAAAAAAAGAAACAATTTAAAAAAATATACCCGTATAAGGGTCAACCGTCTAATTAGTTAATTAATAGGAGTTTCGGTTACTCTGGAACAACTTAATATAATAATTAGTACACGGATTTTGTTTCCGGAATTATACGCATTTTACTACTATACATTATATAATATACAAGAAATTAGTATAAATAAATATATATGTTTGTATATGTATATATACATGTATATATTTGTATATGTATATATATATACATAACTTTAATCTCCTTGATGTAATTATTCGTTCAATACATAATTTTGAAAGTCACGAACTGAATAATTAACATATCCGCGTGTTGAGATTTGATAAATCCTGAATTATAAAGGACTTTTAAATATTGTCTATAACTAATATTATACTTCATACTTTAAAACATAAACATTATACGTAAATTAAAATGATAGATTCGCTAAAAAGGATTATTAAGATTCGTCTTATTCTAGTTTCATCTCGTCTCGCCACAAAAATTTTCCTTTAAGCCTTTCGGTATTGTAATCTGAACGCTTAGCACACTATCTGTGCGAAAGTTTTGTGATTACATTCATTGGCATAGCCATTAAATATCTAAGGGCATTCATTGTACAAATTTCACTGTTTTTACGCGACACCGAAGTGATTAAGGTAATTTTAAAAGAATACAGTAGTTGTCTTTCCTTGTTCTCGCTTCGTTTTTTTAACGGACCATTTCCACATTGGTATGAACGCAGTTACACGAATATTATGCGTTAACAATTCATAGAAAGCTCCTCGCAGTTCGTTCAATAAACAATTAATAGGAAATATATTTATTATACACAGTGGACAGACTAGACCAGGTCGAAATGTCTTGTTGCGATTGCTTTTCAATTTCTGTAGATGATATATTCCACTCGAGCAGCTTTAAAAGCTATGGAATTCTGAATCCATTTTTAAGGCTCTTTTACAATTACTTGTTGAGAATGAATGACAGTAAAAAACTATAAAATACGGTCATGCTTTCGATGCAGTCTCCACAGTTTACCGTATAGTTCTGTCTACTGTTGTAGTTACATAGTAAACGATAGTGCAGTTGTATACATAGAACTTATTACAAACGTACGACGAAATTTACACAATAGATTACAAATTAGTGAAAATATCACGCGACGCTTGGCCACGAACTTAACATTACATTACATATCGGTGTATATAAGATGACGACCATGATCCACAATTCATTTTCATTTCAATATTAGATTTGGATAAATACAATAATGTATGGAATTAATATCGTATAGTAATAAATCACAAATTAAAATAATAATACCAAAAACCGGCCATATAAACATGTCAATAAATTTAAAAGAAATTTATAAAAAAAGAACACTAATTGCAATCGTCAGTGATTAACAAAGTAAATCGCCTTCCTCTAATGTACTTTTAATCATCTTGACGCGAACGTGTTTATGCAACATGCTTACACGATAAGTTTCGAATGCAAAACTTCCATCAAAAGCCCAATATCTTTGGCTACTTCGGGTATGTTTATTTAAATAATTATAATATAGTAATATTGTACAGCTTCAATTAGAGTACAGGGTGAATTTGAAACATATAGCATCTTTTACAACATATGCTGCCCATTTGGTGGAGCATACTGTGATTGCTGGCTTACCGAAGGTCCTGTTGGCCCTGATGGACCATAAGGTACCGGCATAGGACCAGTTTGAGGTGGATACCTGTTGCAACAAATTATAAAATATCCAATTACTTATCCTTATAAAACTAATCTGTTATTTTTATATTATTACTACTTAAAATTAATAATTCCTCCTGTACTAGAGCTATGGAAATCTTATGATTTTCCAGAAAAACAACATTAATATAGTACAATTTTCGATCTATCTAATATATTAAAGATATTCTGATATTTCATAAGCCATTGTATTTTCTTTACAAAATAATATTAAAGTAGAAACAAATTGTACAGACTGTGAATATAAGTTACATTGTAGTCACATTATAGGCTCACTATTTGGAAAATAACAATTTGAAATACTATAAATACCATAACAGGTTTACTACCATGATCTGTTTAGATCACAGTTTTCATAATTATATTTTGATCATTTGTTATTATCACATTACAAAAGCATTTAATAATTAAGTCACATTTATTGAATGTCACACTTTGTATTATAATTTTAAATAGCAACGTGTAATATAAGTTTAGAATTAAAAATCTTAATTAGTAATTAGTAGAATTTGTGAAAATTTGGTTAAAAAGAAATGTTTGATAGAATATTTAAATTAACACATACCCTTGATGAGAGTAAGGAAGGCTGCTTTGCTCCAGTACTGGTGGACCCTGAGGATGTCCCGGAGGATGCTGATGTGGACCAGATTGCACATGTCCAAAATGCTGAGGTAATGTCATGTTTGGCATACTTGTAGGTCCCATATACTCATTCGTTGGGATTGTAGTACTGTAGGGTCCTAACGGACTACTCCCAGGAAAAGAAGACGGATGAGGAGGAGGTACTCCATTATATATCTGTTGATTATGCAGTTTTAAATATTATAATTATGTAAACAATAATTGTCGTAAGTACAGAATACCTACATGTGGAGGTGGTGGTCCATGATTCTGGAATTGGTAAGGACTCATATGTGGTGGCATCTTAGGGAGTGTATAACTAGATGGTGTAGGCGGTGCAGGTTCTCGCATCAGTGTATGATATAAATTAAGAGCATCCACCAAATCAGAACTGAGTTGGGTTAGCTGTGCATGCCTTCTATCAACTTTTTCTAATGCTGCATCAATTAAAGGTCCCATCGCAGTGACTTGTTCTACAAAATATTATATTATTTAAAAACAGTTATAACCCATTGCTAAATTATTAAAATAAGTCGTATTACAGTAAATAAAACTTACCTTCTAACTCTAGCATTTCTTGTGGGTCAGAATTATCACACTGAGGATCAGCTTCATGTAACAAATGTAGAAGTTTATCCATTTTCCCTTCGTCTATTTCAACCTCAATCACTTCTGGTTCTCTCTTTACAGTTTTCACTTCTACTTCATCAGCAAACTGAACCATTTTTTTGTTACTGTGTTCTAACTCTATTACATAAAATTTGTATACAGTCTTCCATTATCAAGTACATTTAATTTAAGATATGATAAAACTTACTTGTAAATTGTTCAGGTTCAACAGATAAATCTGCAGTAACAAAATTAGAAGGGAAAAGTCCTACTCCTGTATAATTACTGCCTTTCCACCAATTTGGATCAGAGTCATCCAAAAGATTAACTAAAATTCAGTTCAATTTTTATCAATCTATTACACATGCGTTATAGTTAGATTTTCTTTAGCTATAATTAAAGTACAGTTCCCTTGAAAAAAAAGTTTATAAAGAATTGTTAATTCATACTTATTTCTCCTGCGAAAAATGTTAATTCATTAGTTTCTGCTGCCTCGAAATCATATAATGCACGGACCTTCCTGCCTTCAGAATTGCTGGAAGTATTAAGTGCTGTGTTTACACTTGGGTACAAACTGGTACTTTTTTTAGAAGATGGCGAACTGTGTGATGAAGATGCTTGATTATGGGCTTTACTATCTTTGAGTGAAAGTTCAATAGCTAAAAACAATAAAGAAACAACATAATTTAAAAAATTGTATAAAAAATACAAATAAAGGAGATTTTGAATATATGGAAATACCTTTTGCAATATCTTCTTCTTCCTGTGAATTTGTTACTACATTTGGATCTTTGCTTAGTACGCTTGTACGTTTAGGCTATAAGATTACAATAGATTTATATATACACTTTCAAATTATATTTTACTGTGAAACAAATCTATAAACTAAGATGTAACATTATATGGAAGTAAAATCTGTTGCAGTAAAATAATTCTATGCTCAACATGTGATTATAGGAAACACAAATGAACATTAATATGAGATAACGCTATCTTAGTAATTGCTATTCAAACCGGAGACTGAATACAGTTGTGTATGATTTATGACAAAAGAATTTTATAAACCACAAGTCTTACCGTATCTGAAATAACAGTAAAATCGTAACCTTCGTTTTTTAGTTTGTTGTACAAACTTGGTATTAAATTTAATTGAGGATCAGATTTAAAATCGCCTTCAGCCCATTTTTTTAATAGCCCTTTCATTCTCTCTGCAATTTTTGGTTGGGTATGGTTAACGAGTTTTCTCATGTCACTTTCAAAGTCTCTTGATGCAATTTCCAGATGAAACATTTTCCCACAATTACTGACACATGCATCCAATAACTAAATACAAATTAATTATTACAGTTTGGAGACATTAAAATGCTCATTGCCAAACTATCAGTAATATGGGTAGCATAACTTTCATCTGTCACAATTAAATTAATTTTTAGCACAATTAAATTTAAGTATATAACAAAAGAATTTTGTTTTGAATACTTCAAGTTTAAAAAATAAACATGATAAGATCATAATAAATTTGGAAGTATCAAATTTTAAGTTTACAGAAATTTTTATACAAATTAGTTTGGCAGTTAATTTGGTTTAAATCATACAAGTAAATTATGGTTTAAAAGATATACTAACTGTTAATGCTTGCACAACAATATGTGGGTCTGGAGAATATAGTCTTTTAACAATGGATCTTAGACAATCCTTTGCATTTTGTGTAGAAGTTCCTACTTTATCACAAATATCCATTATTTTCCCCCAATCTTCGGTGGTATTCATTTCGCTGGTTGCCTTCTCTGTTGCAAAAAAGTTTGAATAAAGAATAACACGTGAAGCAAAAAATACTTGAACTTAAATAATAATCCTTTTAATGAAGAAATCACTTTAAAATATAGTCTGTTTTACAATATATAAGACACATTCCAACTATAATCAATCGAAACATCATTGTAACAATAATGTTCACTATTGTTGTAATGTAATATAATACAATCATTATAAATATTAATAGATAAAATTATCGGTTTGCTCTGAATGCATATGATAAACTCAGACATTATGCGTAATTAAATACCGATTTTATTTAAATGTTCGTGGAAATACCCTAAGAATAATTATTACATTAATCATATCTGTAGAGTAATAGTCTATTGACTCTCGTGAACGTAATAATAAAACGTTTATTTTTTTTACAAGAATAAAACAATATTAAATTCGAAAATTCAAATATTACTATATAATCTACGTTGTTGTAAACAATTTGATAAACATGATTCATACAATCGACTGATGAGATGCAAAACGGTAAATAAAGTAATTTACAAAATCTGGTGTCTTAATTGGAGGTCAAATGTCAACAACCGCTTAATGTGTCTATCAAATGTGAAATTCCGACGTCTGGGACATAAAAATTATTGTGCTAGATGAGAAATAATCAAAATCGAAGTAATAGATTGCGAAATATGAATTTTCATGGCGATAGATTAAGTTATGCAGAATGATGATTCTAAGTGAATTAAGGCTAGGGAGACGTATACCACTCACCGACGTCAGCGTCAAAAGGCGAGGAAGTCTGGAAAAGTCCCATTTTACCCGCTCTACTCGACAAAATGAACACGTCCAGCAATTATGTCCGTTAAACGCTGTCACGGAATCGCGTTCTGTTTTTCTCTGCACATCCAGCTGATATTTACTTACAAACGCAAGAACGAATGACTAATAACATTCTAATCTACCATCGATGGACATCTTTCTTTCGACCTGCCAAAAAACCTCGATACTATCGAATCGTCTCGAGCGTAATGTCAACTTGGACGAGAAAATCATGCAAGCTGTACGGTTGGCAGATATATCGAATCAGTGAATGACGGTACTAAACGGAAATTTTATGTGTTTCAAGATTACGGTAATGGAAATGACTCAGAACCGTTCGAAATTTGGACATGTTGTGTCTTTCACGGAGGGATATTGAAATGAACATCGACAATCGATACATCGTACCATACTACAAAATCGTAAAACTGTCATCTCGTGACTTTATCGAAGACCACCTGTGACCCTTTTTGTTACCCAGTGATGGTAAAACAGACCGAGTTTAGAAAGTGATTACAACAATTTCATCTAAAATATATCCATCGCTTTTAATAATATGAGACATGCATATTTAATGGCAATTCAAGATCATCGTATTTTTTAAATGGAGTTCGAGAAAGTTTCGCTGTTTACATCAATTAAACCCTATTTGAGTACAGTAGGCTTGAACATCATATTCGTACGTTTTGTTATACTGTGAAGAATTTCCTGATGTTGAAAAAAGAATGATGCTATTATATATATACCATATTACCATATATAAGCAGATATACCATATTATAAGCAGATTGCGTATCTTTATGCATTTCTTTCATTCTTCAATAATTTTAATAACTTGAAAATAGTAGGTTAATATTTTTCAATTATTTCAATGTATCTAATGCTTCAAACTGCACCTGCTTATTTCTGTCTAATCATAAGCAACAATTTTCAAAGAGTTCCTTTCATAATATATTCCTCTTTAAAGTCGCTTTAAGATCGTAATGTAACAAGCTGTTGAAGTCACTTTGTTGACGACTACAATATCATGTTACAAAAAAAAACAGAATACATAATATGGAAATGTCGGTGATGCATAATACATTACTTGAAACATACGCTCTTCTTAGTCACTTCATTCGACATTCGAAACTAGCGAAAATGATTTCACTGTTTGTCATAAACACACGACATCTTGCTCTGAAAGGCTTTTTGTTCTATATATTGTACAGTGAGTAACGTTAATATTCGGACACCTTTTAAAACGCAAAAACTTTTTGTTTATTTACTAGTTTACTAAAAAGTAGTTCACGAAATCTTAAAGAAAAATAGTTCTACAAAACGCATTACTTACGTTTTCGTTATAAGTTCAGGTAAAAAAGTTCGAACATACATTTTTCTTTTGTATTTCAACTGATTGAAATTTTTATAAAAATTTGTTGTTACAATAACTTGCAGAAATTTCGACAATTTCGAGAAACATTTATAATTCTAAAAAAGAATGATCTATTACTGTCGAAAATAAAATATACACCCTTTTTAGTCTTCATTGTTTACAAATAATCAAAACACAATTTAGTTTTCAAAATTAAGAAACAAAATTCTTACTGTTTTTCTGGCCTTTTTCAGAAGGTAACGGAACATAAAATACGTGACCCGTCCAAATCCAGTCAAACATATTTTTTGATGTAATTAATAATGGAAGGCGTCGTCTCCATGTTGCCAATTATAATTTATTATATTTGAATTCAATTCACAATATTATTTGCCTACCATTAAACATTGTTGTGACGAATAATATTTAGTAAACAATGTAATGGCTTAAGTTTTATTACTATCACTTAGTCAATAATTTGAGCAAATACATTTTAACAAATAATGTTTAAATATTGTACCGACGAATATTGTGTAAGGCACTTACAATTGCTGTCAATAGTGTGCATTACGTGTATTGCCTTTCTGTTTTTAATTTCGAACTAAATGATCTCCCATTTAGGCATCGAAGACGTCGAGCGAGGAAGATATGGAATCGGTTACGAAAGCGTTGCTCGAAGCAGAGCAATGAACTGTCTGCGGTTTCGCGAATAATTTTTCTATTAGAGCTAGGTTTCCGAACCTTGGACGTAATTTCTGCGTAATATTCCGCTGCAGCGCCATCAAGTTTGCCCGATTCAGACAAGTCCCATTGTACCGGTTGAAAATTGCTCCAACATTGCGCAAACGCGTTTTCATAATTTCCTTTTACCTTTTTAATTCATGCGCACAGGGAAAGTAGGAGTCAAGATTTTTAATTGTCAACATGGCTAATCAAATAATTATCGAACTCCGTCGCTATAATAATTCATATCAAAAATCAGCTTCAAGATTTTAATGCCTAATTAACTCCTTAAATGACTAACCCGTAACAATCGCGTGCTACATCACATACACATGCATAAATAGATACACTTTGAAAAAATTATATATTTCTATTATTACAAATTTTTGGCTGAAAGATATGATAAGCAACTCTTTCAAAGTTACACTATAAACTTACGCCCAGCCTCAAATGGTTGACAATTTCTTATCCATTCGAACTGCACATGCAATAGCTGTCTCATAGAAATCTAACGGTTAATTCTTTTAGAAGATTGTATCATTAAGTTAAGTATAAGTGTTTCCTTATCTCCAATCATGTTACTGCATGTGTACGTTTCGCTGGCCTATATGGAGCATGGAAGTTGATAATACGGAAAATTATAAACGATATTGTACGTGCTTACATGAATATAGCTCAGTTCCCGCGGTTCAAAGTACCTTGCGGAGGAGGAAGAATGTCGCAGGAAGTAATCGTGCAAGAACTTACGTAGAGGACTTCCGTTATTAGTTGTAAACAAGAGGTGAAAGCGCATACGGTTAATTACGTTAGGACAAAAAGTGGCTCCGCAGACACGGGGATGCTCGATAAAAGCATTGTTGCGACTCAACAATGCCACGCGACGTCATCGCGCCCGTAATTATTTAATTACACGCGAGGACGTCGCTTTCGATCACAAGAATTTACATAGAACGAGAGGGAAATGTACATACACCATCATTACTGATTTGTAATCCTAACTTCGTTGTTTCTCTGCATTATTGCATCTTCTTTAATGCAATAGTATAGTACAGTGATAGTGGTGAGTAATAAGTATATACAAAAAATCGGTAAATTCTCCCTAATTGACACTCGGATTGTACACAAAAATAGACAATTTCGGAAGAGGAGGTTTCCCAAGTTATCCATTTTTTGTGTACAATTTGAGCATCAATTAGGAAGAATTTACTGTAATTGGTCATGTTAACATGTGCAAAATTTCAGACTAATTAATTTAGTAATTTTGATGTAATAAAAAAGTAATAAAAGGTCTATATCTGTTTACTATTTCCTTTTACATACAGCTTAGTCGCTAATCAATAAAGCGTTCAGTATATTTCATTGTTTGATCTCATTTGGTCAGAATCAGTTTTTATATTGATGGTTGGCAATCGTTAATTATAAAAATGAGCCGCAACAACATAAAACAAAAAAAACAATAACAACAACAACAACACATTTAATACAAAAAGTTTAATATTTTTTCTTTGTGCGATAACTATTAAAGCAATTACCTACATAATTATTAAAGCATCACACACATGTTGTGTGAGCGGCCATTAAAATATTTATGCGAGTTCTAATTGTTTTAATTCATTTTATTTTCAAACAATAGAAAAAGAAATATATAAATTATTTCACACCGCACCTTGTATCACTTTTTATGCTTACCTTATGAAAACTTTCGATTTGTGTAGAAGCAAAGGCCGATTTCATGACTGCAAGTTGTCGTTGCAGACGCTGCTATAATAGTGTGCGGCGGTGAAACATAATAAAGCTATTACCATCGTCAATTTTCGGATTTAATTTCAGGAATTAAAGCACGTTTCATAGTACTACAGGCTCCCCTAATAACAACGATAGTGGTAACACAATTTAACTGCGCGAAATAAAGTTACATGAACGAAATCAAAATCTTGACTATGTACCGTATGCTAATTAACAAAATAAATAATAAGCAACAATTTTATACATAAGATAGTAAAACGATTTTTTTAGTCTGATTGTGCATGAAAGTAGACAATCATAATTCTCACTGATATGTTTAAAATGAAAAAAATCGGTCAATCAGTGTTCTACGTATAATTATATGTATCAATATACGAAACATATGACTAAGATCTCCATAAATAGTTTATAATGTCCATAATAATTTGCAACATTATCATAATGCTAACTAGACTGCGAATTTTATGTATTTATGCTAAAATTGATTAGATCTAATACCAAGCAATGAAGACATTCGACGAATTTAAGAATGCTCTTACTTTCTTTGTAATTTATTGAAATTATTTAGAGAACAAATACATTTTTGTGCAACTTCTGTTTCTCACAACTGATGCAGAAAATTTATATTTTACATAAAGATCCGTGGTCCAGTGATAACTCTTTATCGATAGGATTTATTTTGTAGAGATTTTAACAGTCGTCCTCGCCAGAAGAATTTTTATTTCATATTTTCGNCTATATCTGTTTACTATTTCCTTTTACATACAGCTTAGTCGCTAATCAATAAAGCGTTCAGTATATTTCATTGTTTGATCTCATTTGGTCAGAATCAGTTTTTATATTGATGGTTGGCAATCGTTAATTATAAAAATGAGCCGCAACAACATAAAACAAAAAAAACAATAACAACAACAACAACACATTTAATACAAAAAGTTTAATATTTTTTCTTTGTGCGATAACTATTAAAGCAATTACCTACATAATTATTAAAGCATCACACACATGTTGTGTGAGCGGCCATTAAAATATTTATGCGAGTTCTAATTGTTTTAATTCATTTTATTTTCAAACAATAGAAAAAGAAATATATAAATTATTTCACACCGCACCTTGTATCACTTTTTATGCTTACCTTATGAAAACTTTCGATTTGTGTAGAAGCAAAGGCCGATTTCATGACTGCAAGTTGTCGTTGCAGACGCTGCTATAATAGTGTGCGGCGGTGAAACATAATAAAGCTATTACCATCGTCAATTTTCGGATTTAATTTCAGGAATTAAAGCACGTTTCATAGTACTACAGGCTCCCCTAATAACAACGATAGTGGTAACACAATTTAACTGCGCGAAATAAAGTTACATGAACGAAATCAAAATCTTGACTATGTACCGTATGCTAATTAACAAAATAAATAATAAGCAACAATTTTATACATAAGATAGTAAAACGATTTTTTTAGTCTGATTGTGCATGAAAGTAGACAATCATAATTCTCACTGATATGTTTAAAATGAAAAAAATCGGTCAATC